GCGGCGGCGGACGCGGCGGCGGCGACGGCGGCGCTGACACCTCCCACCATGGACAGCTTCGACTTAGCCCTGCTCCAGGAATGGGACCTGGAGTCGCTGTGGTGAGTCCCGGGGCTGCGGCCCCGCGCGCCCTCACCTGGGCCGGGGCGCCGTGGGGGCGGGGTGGGCGGCGGGCCGGGGACACCCACCGCGCCGGCTCCCTCCGGCTCCCTCCGGCCCGTCGGTCTGCCGGCCCCGGGGCCGTCCCCTCCCCGCGCCGCTGGCTCGGGGCTCGGCGGCCCGGTCCGCCGGAGGGGGAGCGCGGCGGCGGCGGAGGGAGAAAAGAAGCGGATTTTCGAACGTGTCACCAGTGCCCGAGAGCCCACCCCCCGCCCCGCGGCCCCGCTCGGCCCCCGCCTTCGGACCGCGCTCCTTCCCGGCGCCCGGCCTCACCCCCGTGACCCCCCGGAGTTGGTGCCGCGGCGGAGCGCCTCGAGAGGATGCTCGGTGGCCGGCTCCCTGCCTGCTCCGAGGCTCGGCGCCTGCATCCTCCTCCCTCGGCCCTGCCCCGCGCCCACTGGGGATGGAAAAGTGAGCACTCGGGGCAGGAGGCCAGTGTGCCTCCGTGCCCGCATTCCAGAGGCCTTGGCCCGGGGAGACTCGTCTCCCGGAGTCCACGCTTCCTTTGCACTCTCCGTTCACACCTCCCCGTGGCTGAATGCCTCTCCACTCGTCGCCCCGGTCCCTTTTTGTCAAGCTCAGAGCTGGCAGCCCGGAAGGCACTTGGGGTTCCCGTTCCTGGGATCCTCAGGTTAGGGAGCTTCCGTAGGTAAATCACAGGTAGAAGCGATTTAACTCCAGTTTCAGGTGTCTGAAGAACCCCATTGGCTGCCTCGGCGGCCCCCCCGTTGCCCCCACCCCTTGACTGTTTGCAAGCAGCCCTGTTCAGGTGGTAAAATGACTGCTTGTATATTCCTGGAGGAACTGTGTTGTGTTTAATATTTACGGGACGAACATCTGCTGGAACAGCATATTAACTGCGCTCTGCTCGGCCTCTGGTAATCGCTGGTGGGCGAGCCGAGCGAGCGGTCCCCTTCTAATTCAGTAAAGAGTTCACATGTGTCTGAAACTGAGTGGTGTGCGCATGAATATGCAGTGCACAATCTGAAAGCCAAACCGCTTTACGATTTATGGCTCATACGTCGACGGTATGTGGACATGTGGGTCTCTGCAGTGATTTAGGTCGGCAGTGACTTTTATTTTTCCTAAAGACAGGTGTAACAGAATAAACCATACACAAAGCTTTGGAATTATCGAGCAGCTTCTTAGAACAGATCCGATGGCGACTACAGCCTGCTCTGCATAATGCTAGCGTGTCCATAAAACACACAAGGATGGGCTCTAATGCAATAAAACTTGTATATATTACGCTGGCAACTTCAAAGAGCTAGTGTGGAGAGAATATGGAACACGTTATTACTCTATAAAAGTTGCTAATTGCTGTGTTGCTGCTCACGGGGTTATTTCAGCCTTTCATTTACAGATAGCTATTCTTTTACAGGTTTACCTTTTGAAATGTTGGTTTCTGGCACGAATTCAATAGCTTTCCAGATAACAACTGTATTTTAAAAATGACTTGCTTTTTAAAATCTAGGCTGGCTTATAGTGAAAGGGAAGGACTTACTGTTTTGACACATTTTTTATGTTGCTCATCCACTTTCTGGTTCAAATTGAGCTCCTGTGTGGTTCTTAGAAGTTGTGTTTTGAGATTCAGTGGTAATGCATGGACCTTCTTGGGCAAGGGCTCAAGCTATGGCTTTAGTTCCCAGTGAGTTTATCTGGAATATGGTCAAAGAATATCTGCTGAATTGGCTTGAGCTTTATATCAGCTAAATTGCTATTTGTTTGTTTGTTTGTTTCTTTATTTGAGACCAGGTCTCAACAGAGTCCTGGCTGTCCTGGAACTTGGAGACAGGGCTGGCCTCAGGCTCCATAGATCATCTTACCTCTGCTTCACTAGTGCTGCATTAAAGCCATGCACCACTGCAGCTGGAAAGCATTTTAGAAAGCCATTGTACACTCCATCAGATTTGTAAGCAATACATAATTTTTTTTGGCTTTAGAAAGCATGTAGGATTTTTTGATTATGGTACAAGTAGAACAGTTTGGCTCAAGAGAATGTTTCTTATTTTGTGGATATGGAATTTACATTTACAAAATGTTATCTTTAGGTAAAGTTAAAGATAAACCAAACTACTTGAGTTTGCGTTTAGACATATCAGACATTCTTTTAGTTATGAATTAGTTTTTGCATGGCATTTCTCACTCAAGTTTAGGATGTATTCAAAGACTTTATGTTTACAGTGTAGTTTTAGGCTCATGCATGATCCAAAACACCTAGTATTTCTCTCTCTCTCTCTCTACTCTTTCTCCCACGCTTATTTGTTTTTGAGAGATCATCTTGGTGTGCAAACCAGGATGGGCTCATAGTCTGGGCAATCTTCCTTCTTCAGCCTGCTGAGTTCTGGGATTCCAGGCATGTGCCACTCATAGTTAGCATATTTGATTGCTTCCTGTGTGTCTGATATTTTCATAGCTGTCATTTTCTTGCTTGAATCTGATATCAGAAGTGGTAAGTGATAGCCCTCTCATTGTGTAGATGAGTAAATGGAGTTTTAAACTGTTAGCTAACTCTACTGAGACCAAAAATGACAGCAGAAAATTTAAACCTAATATTTACCAAACAATTATGGCTTACCAGTGGCTGGTGCATCACATGCCTTAGCTCATTTATTCCTCAACAGGAGATTTTTACAGTTAGAGAAATTGAGGATGTGGTGGTCAGGTAGCCTGCCTGAGTTCACGTGGCTCAGAGCTGACTTAGCGTCCAGGTTCACTCCTCTGTATCAGGTCTGTGCATTTTCTACGGCACTGCGGATGTTTTCCAGTTTATCAAGAGTGGCTTTGAAAAGAAGTACAGAGCAAGACCCCAACATCTGCTGGTGAAGGTTGTATCAAAATACTAAGAGAGGTCAGAACCTTAAATGGTATTGATCCAAAAAAAAGAAGAAAAAATCTGAGAACAAAATACCATGAGTTAGGAAATGGTGCCTGTTAATTACCTTATGAAAGGAGACATAACTTTTAAATAAAGACCGCGGGGCACTTCTTTCATTACAAAAAAAGCACCTGTCTTTGAAGAGAGTAGTTGTAGATTAATAGCAAGGGACTCTTACCTGGTATCCAAACAACTTTTTCTAATGGGTAGCTATCACGCCCCGATAAAACAAACTTCATTCTATTAGTTTTAAGTATGGCACTGAACCTGGGTGCGTTTCTTCCGCAGGCCGCGGGCTATTCTCAGACTATTCTCAGATTCTCACATGAGGGTAGACAGAAGGTGAAACAGAAATGTAACCACTAAGATCACCTGATAGGGGCTCCTGGGCCCGCCTCTTTCACACACCCCCGCTTCAGAAAAAGCCTTGCCAATCTCGTAAGGCTGGCCTTTTTGAGCACGCATGACCAGGTGCCTGCCTGCTTATTTTGGCTGGACTTTAAAATGAGTGTCCCTAACAAACACTTTGTCGTTCTGCTGCCCGTTTCTACTTAGAAGGTCAGAGACACAGTGGCGGGGCTCGTTCTGCACCCAACTCCCTAGTTTCTGCCCAGCTGGATCAGCACCTACGCAGAGGCCGCTTTCTCCAGGAGCAGCATCGCGTCTCTCTTGGTCATCACTAAAGTACAAGAGTTGTGTGTGTGGCTTGGGGGGGGGGAGCGGTACAGAGCTGGGTAAAACACGGCTGTGTGCCTGCTGGCTAGTCCTGGAATTGGACAAGAATGTAAGTGCAAAGGAAGTTTACTGTTCGAGAGAGCCAAAAAAAGAGAGCACACTCGAGAATAGGGTTGGTAGTAGAGGAGCAAAGGAGGAACAGTGAGTTTGTTTGTATTTTTTAAGAATTTATGTTTTTGTTTGTTAAAAATTTTTACTTTTTTACAAAAAGGCTTCCATGGAAGAGGTGGCCATTAAAATAAGGTTTGGGAGATGAACGGGCTTTTGCAGATGGTGGAGGAGAGATGACATAGAGGCATCGTGTGTGTGTGTGTGTGTGTGTGTGTGTGTGTGTGTGTGTGTCTAGAGGTGCATTTTATTGATCCCCTATACTGTACATATTTCAATCATGCAGCCCGGTCATCACGAGATAGTTCTGGCAAGTGAGAAAAGTTTCCCAAAACCTGCTTATATTTACGCTCCTCTAAATACGAACACCTTGTCATTACTAGGGAGAAAGCTGATCAAGATGAAATAATGAGTGTTGCTCATGACTCTCTCTGTCCCTTACCCTCGCACACTTCACAGGAGCCAGGGTCCTGACCCGTCTGTTCACACAGGCCCCACGCAGCCCTCAAGCCCTGATCTTTGGAGAGGTGGCTCAGCAGAGAAGAGTGTTGATTGCTTCTGCGGATGACCCGAGTTCAGTTTGCGGCGCCTGCGTGAGGTGGCTTGTGACAACTTGTACCTGTAGTTCTAAAGAGTCCAGGGCTCTCGTTTGGTCTCCAGGGCGTGCAGCGTCCGTCCACATAGGCACATCCACATATATAAAAATTCAAAGAGCAAGAGGAATAGTAGCCCATGGGTCACTCCACAGCCGCTGCTGTGGTCAACTCGATAGATGCTCACGCAGTGGGCGTTGCTCTTGGACAGGCACTGCAGGCGCAGATGTTCTGGGCCAAGGCTCACAGTTGACAGATACATTTCACGTTGCAGCCGAGTCTTCTGTGTCAGGAGATTCCAATAGTCACTATGTGGGATGTGTCCTATCTTCTAGTCTGGTTTTCCTTTCTAAAACCGTTCGTGGGTTCAGCCTGCAATTTGAAGGCCTTCGATAAGGACGCGAAGGCACATAAGTATATGAAATATAGAGCAGAAACTGCCCGCTGGAGGAGGCCTGGGCGAACCCTGTTGAGAGAGTGAAATATTCACGGTCTCGTGGCACTGAAAATGCATCCTGAGGAAGCAGAATTTCAGAAGGAGGAAATAAAAGGAAAGAGAATCTGTGTGGAAGGAATAATGCAAATAGACATGGAGGAGCAAAGCGTGGTATTCACTTAAGATAAAGTT